TGCTCCACCCAAATTGAATATTACAACACTCAACTGCTCGATCCAGGAATCGAACTCCCCACCCTGAGGTTGCAAGCCCAGCAATGCCCATCCTTTGCCAACTTGGATGTGCCCCGGGGGGCTTATTCTTGAGAATGTTTGATTATATATAAGATGGTTTCAGACAAAAATAGTTACCTATTTTTCTGCAAGTGAAGGGTTGTCCTTATTATGGGGAACTCGACAACTACGATAAATTTAGCTCATGTTTGGCGTGACTTCAAAAAGTTGGTAAAAATTTAAATCAAAACTAAAAATTAATTTTTACCTTAGATTTCATTAAAAAAAAAAAAAATCCCCAACTTTATCAATTTTTCTATCACATATTTCATCAAATTTATCAACTACCCTATATGGCCTTCTTACTGCGGGCATGAGGACTTCCACCACCAAACTCGATGAAAAACCACATGCTTTGATACCGTTTGACGTAGCCCATATTTGACAACTATTATTTTAAAACTCTTTAATTCTCATACTTATTTTCAACCATACATTTACACAATAAAATATTTGCACATAAATCCAAAACTTTTTCTTACTTTTTAATAGCACACTATTCAAAAAATCACTATTCAAAACTCTTTTTTTACACAAAATAATGGCCATCAAAGAGGGGCTTAGGAAGTTGAGGTTCAATAACGAACCAAAAGGAGGTCTGAACTTGTTCAAGCCAATCCGAAGAATAACAAATGAAGAAGAATTAAGGAGAAGAGAGCTTGAATGTGTTTCTGTATTCTATATTCTGCCTGAAAATGAAAATTACGCAATTTCTACATCGGATTCACTATTTTAATCACAAGTCTTATTAAAAATCTACTGAAAATTTGATTTTTACAACTGTTGCGTCTTATAAGATATTTTTCAGCGATAATCCAATTTTAAGTTTTCAAATATATTTTAAATCGTAAAATAGCCCCTAAAATTCTCCTTTCCTTTGCATCAGGACCACTGGCGAGTCAGTTGCCCTGATATGGAGATTCAACCGGGCTAAGATGCTAAACGGTAGAGAAACGACATTTTTCGGAAGAGTTTATAAACGGTTTAAATTATAAATGGATAGAAAAGTGGCTTTAATATCTTTCGAAATAAATAAAAAAGTGGCTTAAATATTTATGAACACAAGCCAAGCATAAACATTTGCACAAAAACAATAAACAAGATAAAAAAAGTATACTAGCGGAGACAA